TAAAGGTACAAATTCCAGGTAATGGATGCCAGCACACTGTATATGTAAAATATATTAAAAAATTAATGAATGAAAATAAATAAGTAAAAACTATACATTTGTTGGCTTAGAAAAGAAAGAGCCTCGCTTCACTACTTTAATCAAAATAGTGTTGGAAGTTCTAAGCAAGTCAGCTCTATAACAAATAGAAATAAAAGATGTCCAACCTGGAAAGGAGGAAACAAATTTATTTCTGTTGATAGATGACATGATCTTAAATGTAAAACCTAGATATTTCACAAAAATTCTTTTAGAACTAACTATTCAAATCGTACCAAACTTGAAGGTTAACTGTAGTGAGCTCAGCTGGACCATGCAAAGACAGTCTTTTCTTACTCGGCCTTGATCTTTCAAATAGAAGTGGGGAAGTCTGTTCTGGCTTTTCTCTCTGATAACTGCAAAACATAAAAGAGCCAAGATTTTGAGAGGCCGTAGGTCCCAGCTCTGAAAGAAAAAACAAAGTCCGGGAAAGACAATGACAGCAGTTCATTATTAGATGCTAATTTGGAGCCCACTTGAACGCAGGCCTTTTCAAGGCAGAAGCGTAGCCCATCACAAAATTAACATAAGAACAATATGTTAGGATTGATGACCATTACAAGTCACTTTCTTTCCAGTTTTGCTTAAACCTGATCTGAATTATGAATTCTATTTTTAATCTCCCCAAATATATATGAATAATTACTGCAATTCAAGACATCTACCTCACACAAATTCCTCTACCTCTGTGGTATACAGTTTAGGAATATTAGATTTTCCTTAATTATTTTCACTTTAAATTCAGATGCTACAAATCATTATATAATCATTTAAATCTCTGCACATGAGGCTCCCATTTCATAAAATGAGGTACAACTTCACAGATTTTGGTAAATTTGAATGTGATAATACATGAATGTTGGACTCAGATTAGTGATAAATTATTTTAATCTGTAAGTCAAAAACCATTTTTTCTTCTTTATATTGTACTTCTTTTTTACTTTAGTGTTTATGTGTTCTGCTTGTGTATTCATGAAAGCTTCGTGCTGTTATAAACAGAGACCCACTGTAACCCCCCTTCAAGCCTAATCATTGATGTACTGACCTTTATAAAATCATTAAGAGAATCGGAGCTGAGAATTAAAATGTTTGAGGATGGTTAATGATTACAAGTGTGGTATGGTACAGTTTTAACAATGTTCCCATTATTCTCTGAAGGTCTTCAGGTTAAATAATTAACTACTGTGCTATGCTCCAAAGCAAAGGAGTACAGATTACATTTAAAACAATGTGTTCTTTCTTGGATATCGCAATGAGGGACATAAATAAAATTTGGAATATTTGATCCTGTTGTCAGGATATCTACATAGATATGTGTTTTGCCATTTGAAAAAGCATTTTAATGAAAAATTTCAGGTGTACAACAATACTAAAGTAACTTTACACTGAACACCTGTAAATCTAGGTTGAACCAATAACATTCTGTATTTACTTTTTAAGCTTATTTTTATTGTATATATTTAAGGTTTATAAATTCTTTTACATATATATATATATATAGTATTAATTAGTAGCCAAACAAATTGCATATTAATCACCTTCCATATTTACCTGCATAACATATGTTAAAAGCCCTTAAAGCTCATTCTCTTAGCAAATTTGCAATTCAAAATCATTAACCCAAACCCACATGGTGTGAATTAAGCCCCTAAGACTTACACATTTTATGTTGGTGCAAATTTATATTTTTGAGTACTTCTTTAAATTTCCTCTCACCTTTTACCCTGGCAGCCACCATCCTATTCTCTCTACTTATTCAACATTTTGAAAAAGATTCCACATGTATTCTGTCACTAATCTATCCATTTCTCTTTCCATTAATCCATATTTAATATAATTTAAAGGAAATTACAGACATTAGTACTCTTGCCTCTAAAACTCCGCTCTGCATGGTGTAGTTAGTTAAGTACTTCTCATCTGAATAAGGCAAAGTACAAACTAAGAGAAAAATAAAAGCAGGAAAGGAGAAGACAGGGGACGTGTCTCTTGCAGAAGGGAAGGGTCCAGGGGCCCAAGGACGAGCAGCGTGGTGGGTTGGGTGGGGAAACAGGCAGCGTGAAGAGATGCCAGGTGTAAGGTCGCGTTAACATCAGTGAATGTGGTCATCATCTTCCATAGACATGAACCGGGATTAATAATATCAACAAGAACAAAAAGGGGGCAAGGGGAGCTAGAGGAGGAGGGAGGCAGGGGAGGGAAGGGGATTTCAAAAGAAACAAATTGTATTATATACTTGTACCGTCTCCCCAAGGTGACTGCAAAAATACATATACTGCAGACATGGACTGATACAGTGAAAGAAAAGGAAAGAAAATTGGGATAATTACCTTCCCCCAAAAGTTTTCACTAAATGTTTGTAGTTTAAACATAAAATGCACAGAAATTACAAAGTCATACATTCCTGTTACACAAATACCTGTATTTTATTGTTGATATTTTTGTATATTTTATTCTTCCTTAAAGAAACATGAGTTGTAGCTCTCTATGATTTATTTTTATGTAGAATTTTCCTTTCCTTTCAGACCCAGAGGTAGTTTAGACGTAGACAGAAGATCTCATGATGACAGGTTTCAAATAGAGGCCCTGAAAAGTGAGCTTTAAATGAATGGTAGAATTAGGGTGCAGTTGAAACTTCTACATGAGAGGAGAGGTGGGCAGTGGAGCCAGGGTATTGTCAGTGGCTTCTCGGAGGGACAGGTGGAGGGAGACAGAGCCAGCCCAGGGAGTTCCTACAGGACAGTGCTGTACTGAGAAACAGTCCTCTAGAAAATGCACAGGGAGACTGCTGTCACACTGTACACAGTGTTGGGCACATTTTCACTAGAAATGGGTTATTCCAGGGAGTGAAAAGCAAGGAAAAGAAATAGTTAATTTTACTAGTGAACAGTGAATTTAGTCTGCAGACACAGACAAGAAGGGTGAAAAAAAGTTAAGACGAAGATGTTTAAAAGCTGTAAAATAAACACATTTTCAAAACTAAACACTCTGATGCCCATCGAGTAAAGACAGTATCATTCTGTTGTGTGTAGGCAGAACAAAGTTGGTAGAAGAGCATAGTCATAAAAGCTACTGATTTGTTTTGAGGTCCTATTATGTATCAGAGACCAGGTGCTTTACAAATGTCATTTTAAAAATCTGCTCCATAGAACAGGGAGTCAAAATGACTTGTCCCAAGTTACATAGCTTGTGTCAGAGGTGTGGTTCACATACTGGTCCATCTGACCTGATGGCCTACATCTTACGTTGCATGGCTAGTTAGTTAATGTACCCACTGTTATGCACACAGGGGACCAATCCTCAGGAGTGGAAGAGCAGATGTGTATATACGTATATGGCTACATTATCTATACTGTGTACGTGCACATAGTATATTTAAGATATTTAAGCAAGAAATTGCATCTTAATATTCATAGTTAGGAACACATGTATGCATCAGTGTAAAATGTAAAATCTTAACAAGATTTTCACTACTTTGATTCATTCCTATATTACCTTCTTAGAATCTATTTTTTCCCTACTTGCTCACGAGGTCCTCCTTGCTGAACTGAGACTAAATCGTGAGGCACCAGCCTTGAGGACTGTGCCCTATTATCTTTTCTAAGATAGTTGAATTTTCTCACCTCCGGGTCTTCCCAAACAACCTTTGTAATCACCTAACTTAGTACTGCAATTGTCAGTTGTACCCACCTAAGACTTTCTCACTGATATGCTATTGACTCTGGTTCGTCATTTGCTTATCATCCTTATCCTCTTCTACCTTTACCATGTGCCTTACTGTTTGTTATATTTACAGTCTTACCTATTTTTCTTTGCTGAAGTGTTACTTTCATTGATTATTTAAGGTTATTTTCCCTTCTCACTCCCTTCCACAGCTACATCCCAAGAGCCTAGAACAGAGCCTATCCCAATGTGTGTTTGTTGAGAGAATGATGGTTATAATGCTGAAAATATAGCTAGACATGTGTGCTCTGTGGATTTCCCCAGGAAGATATTGGTAAAAATATGTTCTATCACATGAAAGTACTCAAAGGAAGAGCCTCCAACACTTCCATTTGAATTGCACGGAATGACAGAACTTACCTAAGCAACTTGTGAGTTTTCCTAGAATGGAGTCAACCATGCAAAGACTGAGGCAGTTATAAAAAAGACTCGTTTTTATCTACCAGTTTTCTTCTAACTGAAGCTATTCTCTTTTGCAAGTGGCTAAACATTCTCTGTAGTTTAGGATTCTCTCTTGCCACAATGAAGCTCAAAATTTACTACATTCTCTAAATGCGTATTCTTTTAAAGATTTTGTATCCAATACTTTTGGCTAGACACCACTGATTGAATATATACTAACTATAAAATATGTGTTCGTTTCCTTCTATCCAGGAGACCCTATCATGTTGTTGGGGTGCCAAGTATGTCTTTAAATATTACATATTCATCATCTGCTATTCAAAGACAGGTGAAAACTATAGTCCTTAAGAAACAAAGGTTTTACTTTCCTCTTCCTGAAATAAGAAAGGACCAATACTATGCAATGTAATAGTTACATAATAGATGTTTTCAAATAACAGTAAGAATACCATGTGATCATGTTGTTAAAATCCTTCCTTATTTTCACAGAGGAAGGAAGTATAAGAGAAGGAAAAGGGCTGTGCATGATTCTATACTGGTTGGATGATCTTTGGACCCAAATTATCCCAGGTCAATGATTCATCATTGCAGATGCACATCTTGATCTTCAAATAAAAACACAATCAATGCTTCCACAGAATTTACTTTATTGAGAAGTGAATTAGGGGAGACAGATACACAGTGAAGTCCCTAGGACTCCGACAGAGGGAAAGGTGTATCTTTATAAACTCAAGGGACCCTCCATAGAAAAGTAAAGCAGAAGGGAGGATAGGATGAGAGCTGGACAACAAGCAGCACATGCGGGCTTCTTCATTCAACATTTTCCGTGATGCTTTAGTCTGATTTTCCCATCACTTTGCCTATAAAAAATAAAATAAAATAAATCTGTACTCATTTGCAGTGTTGTGTGCATTTGCCGCAAAGGTTAGAAACAGGTTTAACTATCGCGTAGTCTATCCAATCATGCATTCTGCAGATACCCGTACCTATCGTTCAGCAAAGAGTGCTCAAATACACTCAGAGGCAGCATCTGGCCTAACTGGAAAGCGTGAACCTTACATACACCTCAGGGTTCTGCTAAGCCTTAGTTAGACTCTGTGGAGCCAACTGCTTCTTCTCTGCCAGTAAGTATATGCGCAAGTGGAAAAAGCAGAAGAGGCAGGAGAAGTAAGGCCAAGGACACTGCAGTGTCGCAGTCACGCCCCGACGGAAGGGGTAGGCAAGTGGACCACGTATCGGGGCCCTTGACAGGCATCTGACAGAACTGCACACGTAGACCCTGCAGTCAAAAGCGTCTGTGACTTCAGATCCCACCCTCCTCCACTGAACTTCTCCTGGGAAAGTGTGACGTGCCTTGGTCAGATACGTCAGACAGCAACACCCTCACCAGGTACCGGTGTTAACACTGGCTTTTAAAATTAAGAATAAATAAAAATAAGAAGGCATCAAACTAATGATAATAAATTATTATAATGTGTGTGATATATAAATTGTAGGAACTTCCCTAACGTGAATCCAAATTGGTAACAAAGTAAAAGCTATTAAGATTGTTTTCAATTTTTAAAAAAATTTTTCTTGCTTTAGTTTTGCTTTGCTTGTAACACATTTTCAATCCACCTCCCTCAAGTTTATTTATTTCATCTCTATGGTGAAGAATGGGTAGAACTTTCTCAGCATCCCCTCAGTCTTACTCTGGCAGTTTCTGGCTTGCAAAGGGACAGGTTTGGTGGTTCTTATACGTACGCCACTGCCTTACAGAAGGCACATTTATTGCCGTATGTCTGACCATCGGAGCCACAGTAGGGGTCTGATTCCCGAGTGCAGAAGACCTTGGGGTCAGGGAACTCACCGCAGTCAACCTGGAAATAAATGCAGTGACGTTGATGTCAGGGCATTCTATCTAAAGGTCTCCATCCGAATGGAGCATTTGGACAGCAAAGTTTTAAAACCGTAGACACATAAGGTTTGTGACAAAGAAACATCTGGAAATACAAAGTATCTTTTTTATCTGCCTAAGTAGAATGCATTAAATAAAACAGAGACTTTTTCTTCAAAATACAGGAAATTCACTATAAGAAATACATTACTAGCCAGGTGCAGTGCACACTCTTGTAATCCCAACAGTTGAGAGGCTGAGGCAGGAGGATTGCCATTTGTTTGAGGCCAGCCTGGGCTACCACAGTGAGTTCAAGGCCATCCTGAACTACATAGTGAGACTCTGCCTCAAAAAGCAAAAAAACAAAAAATACAGTACTATCTTCAGGAATAAATTAATGATGGTAAGTGCTATACTTAAAACTTTTTGCTCCAAGATTAAATTAGTCTAGTTTAGGGCTAAGGATTTGACTCAGTGGTTCCATCACCTGCCTCACAAGTGCAAGGGCCCAAGTTTGGTCCCAGATACAAAAAAAAAATTACTCTAGGGTAATTTTTGTCATTAAAAGACATTCTAAAAATCCATATTAATGATGAAAAGCTATATTAAGTTGGATAGTACTTTTCTTCATATTATAAAAATATAGCACTTGTGAAAGACACCCAGACATTACCCAATGGTTTATTAGCTTTTCCAGGAGATATAACATCCATTTATTACCCCTTAAAATTTTGAAGGACTTTGTAATAACTGACTTTGTCTCAACATCTGTTTGTAAAATTTGACTTTTATGCTAACTACAGTAACTTAGCAATGACTGCCTAGGATGCTGTATTTATACAGATTCTGAATTGTAACTGAGTCTTGTTGAGGACATTTCTTCTATCTGATTAATGATTGTTATTATTAAGAGTAGCACCTGTAGCTACTCTTTTATATACTAATATAACCTCTCCATTATGGCGCTTTCTCAAAGCCAATCTGGACAGTAGTAGTAACATTCTTTTTAATGCAATATTGATAGAATCAATATTTGGCATTCAAATGGCATCTGTGTCATTCTTCCCAGGATATAGCCATGCAAAATGGATCAAACTGAGCCACTGCAAATACCTGCTTGTGCAGAGAAATGCTCATTATCCACCACTAGAGAAAACCTGCGTTATCCTGTCTTAGTTCCAGCAAATAGCGCCATCTTGTGATTATCAAGTGCTACACACACTTCGTGTGGATCTCCTCAGTCAAGCCTGACAATAACCCTGACACAGACAGAGCTACCTACATTTAGTCCGACCCATTACATTGCATACGTTACACACAACAAAATTCATTTTTGAAAAAAGAATAGTGCATTAAGGAAATGTTGTGAACACTGGCCAAAAAACAAACAAACAAAAAAGATCGCTCATGTTAAGAGGTTAGCAAAGCATTCTACACTGACAAAGTTGTCTGAAGACTCCTTTGCACAGGGAAGATCATGCTCAGGGAAAGGGTCAGACAATCAGGTTTAAAAAGTACGACATATATCCCATTTAAGGTGCTGCAAACTGCACTTTTCTGGCCCGCTTACCCTTGGCACCTTAGGCGATCGAGGTTGGGTAGTGTAGTTTTCTACGTACGATGCTGATTTCCCCTACCACCCTGAAAGACAATCCCACTCTCATATTACTTCCAGAAGAATAATCTTCCCTTTAGGTCTTTAAGTGGAAATAATGCAGGGAAACCTTGAGTTCGCTATAACTCACAGGACGCTTTTCTTCCCCCCTCAAAAGTTCATGTGTTTTATATTTCTGTCACACATACAACATCGTGCTTGAGTCAAAAAAGAACCGTGGTCTGCAATCTCACGGATATTCCAATTATTCCAAAATAACTCGATGTGTGAGAGATACTTGGAAGACACCGTGCTGGGCGCGGGCTGCATCCCGCAGAATCTGTAATGACCACCTCGTCCACGCGCACAGCCTCAGCTGCGTGACACAGACAGAGGCGGGGCCCAGACATCGCGGCCAAGTGCTAAGTGGCACGGTGGGACACGGACCCGCAGAGCCTCACAGCAATGAGGAAAAATAAACAAGAAAGCCTCTTACTTGAAAGAGACGACTTCTTAAGGCACCTTTCCCTGGCCATCGGCCCTTTGATCTCATGAGCCAGCCTCTTTTCTCCTTTAGAAAGCAGATATAGAAGAGGAACTTGGGGAGAGAATTCATTCAATTGGAGATTCTCCAGAACCAGCCTCCCTCCCAGACCCGCACTCCTCCCCTTTCCCCATGCCCTGGAAAGCCCTTGGGAGCAGCAAAATCAATCAATAAATAGGTAAAACAATAAATACAGTTTAAGTAAAATAGGAAGAAAGGGGCTAAAGGTGTAGGGGAAGTGGGAAGGGTAGGGGCAAGGAAAGAAGAGAAAAGAAAAAATGTGAGAAAAGGAAAAAATGGAAATAAAGTATTTGTAAATAGGGAAGGGAGGAGGGGATGAAGGGAGGGCAGGGGAATGGGGAAAATATGTGAACCAAGACCTGTCATGTAAAGGTACAAGATCCCAATGATGAATGTAACTGTACTGTCTACCTAGAATGTACCAGTAAACTCAATGAGAGAAAAAATGAATAAGTACAGTTAAAGCAAATTATCAATCAGCTGTTGTACGGACAAAGTGTATTAAAACAAACACAGTTCCATACTTTAAGTTCAAGCAGCCCTCTGTGAAGCCTCAGGTCAGCCAAGAAGAGAATTACAGAACTAATGCCGCTGCTCATTACCTGTGCTGCCTTAGATGTCTAACCCAATGTGCCAAGATTTTCTTAACCAGAAGACAAGCAATCCTTGCCAGGCCTCATTCCCATATTCCCAGGAGTTTTCTAGGGTTCATATGTGGATGTGTAAGACTTCTAGACTCAGTGTGGAATATCTGAACTAATTCTGCATTCAGAGCGTAGAAAGGAGCCTTCTTTTTGGAGGCCTCGTCTCAGTGAAGCTTATAGGAAACGGTTCTCACACCAGGAGACCATACAATCTCTAAAGGCGCTTTTAATTTAGATTATCCAAGATTCAGTAATGACCACTGTCAATGAATTGGTTTAAATAAAGGTCTTATGTTCTTAGTTTTAGCAGCTGGACTGGAGCAAAAGCAGTTCCTTTTCTATATCTACAGAGCCCTTTACATAATACTGCATTCATTTTAGCAGGATGACCAAGGGTAAAAGAGAGCCCTTCTCTGAGTACTTCAAATGCCTTTGCAATTAATTCTCTAGAAATCCCTTCTTACTGCAGAGTGAGGCAAAAGCATCTCAGGGCTAGAGAGAGACCACAGCTCTCACAAGCTGTGGATATGCACATTATGATCTCTTCAGTGCCAGGCATTTCCTCCACCCATATTTCCTCTTCTGTTTCATAGTTTTGTTTTGAACTCTTTTAAATAGAACCCAAACAATTGACTTCTCAGGAGAAGTCAAAGCAGCTCTAGATTGGAGGTGATCGTAGGATTATATTTTCTGCATTAAAGTTTCATTCATGAAGCATTTTGGAGACTTAGGAGAGCTCAAACACTCCCAAAGCTTTGGTAATGCTATGGGGCTGTCCCGGGATGGAACTGGCCTGACCTGGGTTGAATCTTTCTTTTTAAATGTATTGGCTGCATTACAGCGTACAGATGCTTCATTACTCTGAGCTTAAATGTCTACAAATTCTACAGGAGGCTGGCAATACCATATGTATCTACTAGGACTGCACTAATAGCCCTACAAAAACATTTTATCAAGGATCAAGTACTAACTGGAAGATCACTATCATAAAGATCAGGAACCTAAATTGCATCACATCCTAGAATTTTTGGACCCCATTTTATTGCTTATCCTATTTGAAGGATATTTTTAAACATTGTGTACTTTGCCATTGGGTTTAGCAAGAAATACTCATTTTTCTTGGTAGCCAGCTTGGGACTACTTCTAGGTGCATGGATGCCAATGTTTACTATCAGCCTGCTCCCTTGTGGTGATTCAGAGAACTGTAGCTTCTAAAACATTTCTGGGTGGAGACAGTACCCTCAGATTAGTCATTTTTGCTATTACAAAACATCATTTAACTTGGTTGAAAACTTGTGCTTATGTCATTACCAAGTCAACTAAGGAGTTTTATTATCAGTATTTTAGTCTATCATTTAGGTGTACAGATAAAGCCAACGAAAAAATCACCCACACGCTCAAACACACACACACACACACACACACACACACACACACACACACACACACACTCTTCCCATCTTGTCCATACCCTTTCTACTTCTTTGAAACTGCTTCAAAAAGTATGCCTGTAGCCAGGGATCTGTGACACATGCTTTAATCTGAGCACTCTGGTGGTTGAGACAGGAGGATCACCTCAAGTGATCCTGGGGAAAGGGGGAGGGAGGGGCAGGGAGGGG